GGGTGTTTGTAAGAAGTACATAAAATAAAATAAAATAAAAATAAAATACCAAACGCTTGACGAAGACTGAGGCAACTGATATATATACATTATTTCAACTGTGATCTCGCGCTAATTCACTCTGTCAGAAATCATGTATCTTTCATCTCTGTCTGGAATAGTCTTGTTTCAGTATTGAGATTTTGACGTCACATCATCGCCTCGTTTTCAGAGGTCCGAAAAATCGGGGATTTCAATAATTTTTTATTGAACGTAGGGAGCTCACAGCAAAAAACGGCTTGCGGTGGTCAGCTAGTTTGGGTGAGTTCTGACGAATTATGAAATATTTTTTTTTGTCCACGACTGTTGTATAAAATATTCATAATACATGTACTTCCTCAAGCAAAACGATAGCCATTTTCCACACCAGTGAATAATAGCGGTGAATAATCATTATTCACTGGTCTAGAGTTCGTAGGGTACACGATAAATGTTTTGTATTAAGCAAGCATTTATCAGTACACGTTCAGGCTATAGCTAGGTACATTAATTAGCTAACTTCATACGAATCATATTCAAATATATAGAAATCTTGATATACCTCCTCAGTATTACATTATTCCTCTCTTTATAATGTATGTATACTTGGAATAAGATGTTAGTATCAAATAGAGTATATCAAGATGATATACGGAAGCCATTGACATGTATGAACATGACAAGATAATCATAAATAGTTGTCATTGTTGAAACGTCAAATTTCGACGACACGCGGTGTTTCAGTTATAATTCCTAAAAAATGGATATTGATAGTGATGAAGAGATATTGTGTACTCCACCAGAGATAATAGAAGCTGCAAAAGTCACGTCAATGAATTCGTTGCCGGAGAACTAGCGAAATCTGTATGCATCTGTGTACAACACCTGCATGAACTGGAGGGCGTCTAAGAAAATTCATTCATTCTCAGAGTCAGAGTCTTACTGGTATATTTCACGGAATTAGCTGCAAAATATAAGCCATCCACATTATGGACACATCACTCGATGCTTATGCTTAATATAAATCAAGGAGTCAATATAAAAAACACTTCAGGCATGTGATGAAAAATATCTTGCAATGAAGGTAAGACATGAAAAAAACTTGCTTAACTAGTATTTATGAAATAAAATTCATCCTTATCAGGTCACAATGATAATAGGAATAATGGGTGCAATTTGAATAAATAGGCCCATAATAGTCTTAGAAAGAATTAATATAACATACGCTTCAATTTTCAGTTTTCCTAATGTCAAATAAGTTATGATAAAACAGTTGTTGAAAATAAATTCATATATCAAGAACAATATAGTAGTCGTGGACAAAGTATAGTATTCTACTCGCATATAATGAGCTATTATTCACTAAGGTTAATTATGCCACTCGCTACGCTCGTGACATAAACTTAACCTTCGTGAATAATAGCCCTCATTATATGCTTGTTGAATAATATACTATTTGTGATATAAGCCCATTGACTCTGGCGTTACTTGATGGAAATCCATGGCAAATGTAGAAACTTCACAAACGATAAGATTTTCACTAAATTCTTAGACACGATCGGCTTTTCTAGAGAAAAGGCATGCTTGTTTGCATTGAAATCTACCAAGTTATTGGATTCCCATTCGAGAATTGTTGCCAAGTCCATATTTATGTTGTCAACATTTCTTCCTCGTTCGTTTCTGATTTGCCTGGCTGGTATTGGGGCCCTGGAAGAGAAGGCGGTATGGAGGGTACTATCATCCGCGAAGCTGTATACTGGACATGAAGTTGCTTCCATCAAATCGTTGATATGGAGTAGAAATAGTGTTGGTGCTAGAATTGAATCTTGCGGAACACCAGCTTTTATGAAAAAAGAGTCAGATGAAACTCCGTCGACCACTACATGAAGAGACCTGTTTGAGAGAAAACTAGCTAGCAGAGAACATAGTTGGGGAGGCAAGCCATAAGATGGAAGCTTGGCGAGGAGTCCGTGGTGCCAAACTCGATCGAATGCCTTGGAGATATCAAGTGCCACGGCTAAGGTTTCACCATATTTTTCAATAGATTGCTGCCACATATATGAGACGTAAGCGAGCAGGTCACCAGTTGATCTCTGATGGCGGAAGCCATATTTCCTATCGTTGATAATGCCTGAATGTTCCAGGTATTTCATGAGCTCGATGTTGATATTTTCCATGATCTTTGAAATAATAGATAGCAGTGCGATTGGTCTGTAGTTGCTAGGTAGGGTCTTTTTGCCTTTTTTAGGAACTGGTTGTACTCTTGCAATTTTCCAGTTGGACAGGAATACCCCCAATTTGTAAGAGTAGTTGAACAACTTGCAGAAAACAGGTGTTTCGGGAGCACATTTCTTGAGAACAATCGGTGGGACTCCGTCGGAGCCACAAGCTTTGTTGGTGTTGAGACCCAATAAAATCTTCCTTATAGTACGTTGGCGAAAGGTGATCGCGGGCATATAACTGACAATTGGCGTTATGTTTGGAGGTTGTTTTCCCGATAAATCCAGAGTGGAATTTCCAGCAAATAAATGCGCAAAAATGTTGTGTGTTTAAGAATTTTATCGTTGGTGAAGTTTTTACATTTGATTCTATGTGTTGATAGATAGGATGTTTCGAATGATGAAAGTTGGGCGCATAATTAATTTTAGTTTTCAATCTGTTCAGGTATTCCAGCGTACGATAACCGAATCAGTTCTCTTGCTATGTTGCCATTCACATGCTGTATGTGTAACAATTGGGCAAACAATATGTATAGTTATCTCTGTTCGCCGCACATTATAAACAGATGAAGAAAAAGACAATTTCAGCAAGTTGATTTTGAGTAAACAGAAACAAACATTTTTTTATGGATACAGAAAAAGAATTAAATAGCTTCGGAAAACAAACTCATCGGGTATAGCAAAATAATGGGGCACAATAGATGTTTTAGGTCGTCCTTTTTGGCGCTATCATGTTTTGCCGTCATCAAAGAGGATCCAAAGAATTCAAGATGACGGTTTCGCCGTAACTGTGTCAGTATAATATAAATAATAACCCTGCACTGACGGAAAAATGAAGTGGTACAACTTGACTGAGAAAAAAGTCGGTTATCTTTAAAAATATTGTTTTTGATAAGGGGTCAAGATTTCGGAACAAACTTTCAGTTGGACCACTTTTTTGTCCGTCAATTATCATGAAACACGAATGAAACCGTCTTTTTACTTGAACAATAGACGCTGCTATATCTACCCTATAGTTTGACAGATCGTCGGATTCAATTCGGAATTGAAGTATTTCACCATTATTTATGGTAACCCTGTATAAAAAAAGCAGTGCCTAACCAAAGACAAACTATCATGATTATTTTCTGTTTTCTTAGGAAACAATTCTCGGAGGATAGGCAAACTACACAGTCAGATATAGGTGATTGATACACAAAAGACACAAAATATTCAGAAATATCTAAGTACAGCACGACTTTAACAAAAACGCAAATCCCCCTCATGATTTTGTTGGTTCCTATTCATGAACCCTATACCAAAAATGAGTTATTCAAGATTTTCTAGAAAAAGTGACAAATGCAGCAAATCAAACGTACGCCATTTTTACTTAAATTGCAATTTTTAGTGATATGCAATGATTAAATCGTGAATATTGAAGACTGAACGGATCACTGACCATAATCAGAACCAATGAATAATTTACAGGGTGTGCAGAAAAGTGGGTCAAGGGGGTCTATTCTCGAGAGTTATTCGTATACGAATTCAAACTTCTATGTCACTTCAACATACGTCACATACGTAAAAGCATCTTCCTTCATTCGTATGCGAAACTGCTATAAGAGGATTACCATATAAGTGGTTGGAATCATACTCAACAGACAGAAATCAAATTGTGAAAACCAATCACCATAATAATAGAAATACAAAAAACATGTGTCATCATCTATGAATAACAATACTGGAGTTCTACAAGGATCAGTATTGGGACCAGTACTTTTTATTATTTACATCAACGAGCTGCTAGATCTTCTCGAGGAGACGTTTGTCACACTATATGCGACTCAACCTTTCTATTCAATGATGAAACAGATGAAGATCTCAAAGATAAAATTGACACAACTATTAATCATCTTCCTAACTGGTTTAGTGGAAATCCTTTATATTTTAATGCTTCTAAAACAAGTTACATCAACTTCCATACACAACAGAATACTAAACGAACTAATATCAAAATTTCAATTCCAGAAGAGGGAATAGAAAGAAAAGACAAAACGGTATTTCTGGGTATCAACTTTGATAGTATCCTAGAATTTGAATCTCACTGTACTGACCTGGCAAAGCTTATTGAATAAAAAATGCTATCAAATCAGAACTTTAAAAACAGAGTTCAACATAGAGAACCTTTTTTCATTTTCTTTTGAAGAAGTGCAGTCTGGACTCATATTGAGAGGGGGGTGGGGGTAGCACTTCATATTCACGAAATGTATGTGCAAAAATGAATTTACCAGATGCATTGATGGAGCGTCACCGACAGTCATGTAGACCCCATTTTGAAAAAATATAAAATCTACCTCTTGCAGGTCTCTATATTCGTGAAATACTAGCAAATGTGCATAAGCATTTGCTCCTATAAACCTAACAAAAAGGGCTACAGACATCTTAGGGCTTGGGTTGTATAATGTTGGACCAGAAGATCTCAGGAAGTCAGAAAATGAAATACTGTTCAAGAGACAACTTGAAATGTTTATTTTAAAATATTCTGTGGCCGAATTTATGTTATCTGTTAAGTGATGCTATGTTTGTTCCTGTAAAATGCTGACGTGTCCTATATCATGTACTCTGTGATCGAATGGATCAACGAATGAATATGACTATGACTTATTACTCTTCCAGCAAAGTTGTACCATACGGTAGATATTTCTCAACATTTTAATGCTTCACTGTGTGTTCCCAGCAATTGATTTGTTGGAATAGCGAAAAGGAGCGACATATTCTACTTACGTGGCGAATAACTTCTCGATCTGGAATAGCGTCTCCTTCGGCTGCTGCTGCCGTAATACGGGGAAGGTGATCGACGGCGGCGAGAGGAACGACCTCCCTCGTAGTAATAATCACTGATACGATAAGAAAAATAGTACATGTACATACTTATATCATATTGAATATTTCATTTCATGCTGTATGAACATTTAACGTTTCATGGGATTTATAAAAAGGACAAAATAATAAAAAAAGGAAGAAGTTGTGAGGAGTACAAGCCGCTTAACTAATTTAGATTGCAATCATAGACTTACTATGCCAAGAAGATGCAAACTCCTAATAGAACATACAGATATTACAAAATGTTTCGGTCTTTATATCGATAAAAGATCATCGTGGACCAAACATATATTATCGACTATTTAAGAAAAGAAATTCGAAATTATATATCTGTTAAGTTAGATACTTGAAGAGTATTCATTTTCGTCTCATTTACTTGAATTTGTAATATTTTAAATTGATTTGGAAATACGAATATTACAAGTTTGTGACCACCAATGAAATTTCAAAATAATACAATGATGTGCATCTTTTATTTTGATTTTCTAGAACCAACTTGGAAACTATACAATTATAAAGATTTGTTGATTTATTCAGGAATAAATTAAGAACACCAAATATGAATTTTAATGAAGTTGATTCAACCCATACCCATGATAATTTTAAAAGAAATCATTATCGAAAAGAGTAGAAAGATATAAATCTAACAAAGATTTCAAATTAATTCAAGGAAATATTTGCTTAGTAAAAACGGATGTTGATTTTGCTGTTTTTTTGCGAATATTTCAAAGAGCATCAGAAAACTTGTATTGGGTAACTCCAGATTCAGATTCAGCACCCAAAAGTTATAGGGAATGATAAAAGAACCAGCTATTGAATTTTCTGCAACTTGATACATGGTAACATATTTTGCATACCATTAATTTTGATTTTTTTCGTGATTTCATGAGACAGCCAGTATCACTGAATTTATCATCGGTGAATCTACTTGGACTAATAAAAAAAAAACAAATTCAACCGATAATTCATAATGGTCTCAAATGGTCCGTTTTCTGGGCCACACATAATAACGAAGATTCACCAACTTTTGGCAAGTCAGTAAATTCCCACAATTCAAATTGATGTTGAAAAAATTTTTTTTTTCAAAAACAGTTGCACAGGCAATGTAAAAATTATGCAAATATGTCTTTTTCACCAACTAGTCAATTTGTAGAAAACTGTTTTTGCTTTTTACTTTGTACCAGTGGTGTTCATTTTTCAATCATTGTTTTTATATCTTTTCAACTGTAATTGGAAATGGGTATTACTTCCAATGTGACGAATAAATAAATAAAAGGGATTTACAAAAAAAAGCACTACAAATTTCACTTACTCTCTATCTCCCCTGCGCCTGTCATATCTGTCTCTTTCCCTTTCATATTTGCTGAAAAAAAGTGCGACATGAGACCAACCTTCTTTGGAGGATGTGGAGGCTAGTATACAAAAAATTCTCCGAAAATTAAAGTGTACAAGAAAGCCTTTCGCTATAGTTTCAAACTTCACCACTATTGCGCATATTTTCCTCATGAATAATTTTCCAAAACTTGACAGGAATCCTCCTCTAATGAAAATGAGGAAAACATAAGTTGTTTTGGAATTTCATCACTTTGTGAAGAAAATAACTATTGACATTAAGAACAAGATGATAACAATATTTTCATCAGATCATTAACTGAGATAAAAAATTGGACTTACTATGTGGGTTTTCCCATGTAGATACCAGGAGTCGGTGTGTGGGGTCTCTCTGTGATAGAAAAATCAACTCTTATGCTTTTCCCATTGATTTTCATTCCTGTGCATTGGTCTTTTGCTACTTTCGCATCCTCAGAACTTTCGAAATATACAAACGCAAAACCTCTAGACCTTCCAGTCTGCAAAAAAACAAATCCACACAATTTCTTAATTTAGATTGAACTATTCCAAAACTCGAAAAAATTCTTTCTAAACCAGCTGTTGCTGCTACTGCACTGAATAACTGCTCACATAGTTATAAGTTTTTTGGCTATTCGGAGTCAGGAATTGTAACCGACTACTGATACCGATTTAATTTCACGAATTGTGAATTGTGTGCGTGGTGTACCTAACAAACAGTAAACAAAAACCGGGGATTTCCCCAGTTGTAAGTTATAACCACGAAACGCACTGTTGTCAAGTATTCATTTTTAACGCAAAATATCAAGGATTTTTTGCTCCAGTATTCATTTCGTTAAAAAGAATGATATATATCATGATATATATCAATCAATAAATATCAGATATATATATCATGATACATATCATGATATATATCACATGATATACCTATATCGGCCAACCCTGCTAACTAATACCATCCAGTGACTCTATAGTGTACTATAACTTCTGACAGTTGTCATAAACATTAAAATAAAATAATTTCGACGAGTTCTGAATCCTTCCGGGCTACTCACCTTGGCATCGATGACCACTTGGACCCGCTCCAGCGGCCCGTACTTCGACATCAGATGGTACAGCTCGTCCTCGGTGGTGTACACGCTGAGGCCGAAGATGCCGATGCACCGCGACGGCTTCGGGTTGTCTCGGGTGCCGAGGTGCCGCTTTCGGCTCGACATCGGGCTGTGCGAGTACGACCGGCCGCGACCGTAGCCGCCCGAGCGCGAACGACTGCGTGAGCGTTTCGAGGATTTGTTGCGGCGGGAGCGCGACCGGCTGCGAGATCTGCGAGAAAGTGGATTCGTTCATTGTTTTGGGATGTATGATGAGTTGATATTCATCATACAGGACGTGGAAAGACATTCTGAATTGAGAAAACCTAATCACGAATCTGCGAGTGAGTTCAAGTTTGAACACCTTGATAGGGGTTAAAACTTGAACGATGGAAACTTGTTATTTTTATAGACCTCGAGGAGTGGGAATAGATAGATATTTTATTTTTTTATTTGGGACACCCCGTATTTCATTTTTCTAATTGTGAGAGCGCTTTCTTCTGATTTTAAACATATATATTTTATTGAGGTTATCTTCATCAGTTTTCGAAAAATATAGATGTTATCGTATAAATCGATTTATATCGAAAACGGCAATATTAAGGTATAATAGGACATACTTCATAAAAATTGAGGGTAATTTGGACCTGGAACCAATAACGTTAATGTAGTTTCGGCATCTTCAATCTCGTCAAGTTTTTCCATCTAACACTGACAGTGTTCAATATTTCGAACTGATTTTATACTAGAGGAATTCATTTCGTTTCAATGTCCAAATTAAAATAACAATATTATTTATAGGCCTCTACATAATCAGTTATTCACGGAAATAGTTAACTAACTGGGCAACCGTGAAGTCGAATATAGAAAACAAAAAATAGTTGTTTAGCAATTTTGACAGTGCATTCGGAAATGCAATTGAAAACAGAGTGTCCCATTTAAGAAAAGACTCATCATCAGCCGATATCTTGGAATTCGTACACCCTATAGATATGAAAATAACTTTAGGTGATAGTACTCATGAAACCCTATAACTGTTGTTTTTGAATTTTGTCTATATATTTGACAGTTTTCGCTGATATCGGAAGAAAACACAATATTGACTCACTCTATATACTAAAAATTAGCCTGTTTTTTTATTGTATACATATTTGATTTCTTTTTACCACCTGTAAAACAATTTTTCCATTAGAAATTTAGTCATACATGAAATTTTATCTTTCGGGAATTTATCGTTTAGAAAGGTGACGTAACTAATCAAGTCATCAGAATAATGAATCAAGCCATACATTCATAGTCGTATATTAGATTTGGTCACGTACGGTCGATTCAATTGGTTCAACCATAGTTATATACAAAAGTATAAGATTTTAGCTCGAAGTTGTGTTGACAAAAAACCTTGAGATAACATCTAATATTTTTCCCGTGTATAATACACTATTTTTTTCTGTGATATTCTCCTGAAGATGCTAACATGGTAAAAAATCGGTTTGGTTAGTGGTAAAACAGTGTGTAGTGTAGACAGAAGGAAGAATCAATATTGAGAAGATATTACATTATGTAAAAATCAGAAAATTATCGACATGAAATTCGAAGTTTTGGAATTACACCTGCGTTGCAGCCATCTTTTGGAAGACATATCTGTCATTATTTTGGAGTAATCAAATATCTGTCAGTCCAACTCTGAGATTTGATTTTTCAAAAATGCGTAGTTGTTTCGTAATTTACGTAACCATCTGGAAAAGCGACATTCCACAACCTGTCAACAGAGATGAAATGTCAACGTTTTTCCCGTCACAGAAAAAATTGCTTGTATCATTTCTTTCGCATCGTGAAGTTTCAATACTTGAGCAGTTTGTTTGATTCACCATATACTGAAAATGACCCTGTATTTTTTTTGTGTACCAATATTGAATTTATTATCACCCCCTGTGAAACAATTTCTCATATGCAATACCACAAGTGATACTGTTTAGCCGAAAGTATTCGGTGATTGTTATGACAGCTTGTTGACTAGTATTTTCGCGAATGACATCTTCATCAAATCGAGCCGTAGGCGAGGAATTAAATATATAGTTGATACATGTTTGAATACTGACGACCGCAAAACTTTTTTCAAATTAAACATCCTATATATTATTGAATTTATTACACATAGGCTTCGTCTACAGTGCGTCCGTTGAATTGAGGGCCACCGTGAAGTAGTGGATGAACTCGTTGAAAATTATAGGAATAATTGAAACAACGTTCGAAGCCGTCGAATTTAATTTTCATTCAACAATTTGACGTCAATTATGACAATGACTTCAACTACCATGATGCTATTGAGTAAATCTAGTTTTTGTTACCTTTGAAACGGTTGGGATGCAAGTTTTTAAAACGCGATGTTCTCTAGAAGGATACAAGATACCGATAAAAATAAAGTAGACCATTTGGAATCAAACGGTGGAAAGCCTTTATTAAACGGGGAAAAATCGTCCCATTCTGTATAAAACATAATCACTGAACGCCCGTTTACATATGGAGATGAGCATTAGTATGAGTTAATTAAGATACCTAAATATCATTGATACCAAGGTATCAAGGTCAAATTTCGTCAAAACCATGAGAGCAATCGAGACTTATCAAGAGTACCTTTTCTAAAGTGAATGAGTTGCGCAATCTAAATTTCATACTCAAACGCTTTTTCTTCCATTATTAAAAAAATCAAGTTCTACGCCTATGTATTATTATCGAACAAAATTTTAACACCATTTTTTTTGCCACATAAAACTTATCAATATACCAAATTTCCGCAAAATCGCATATGCCGTTTTAAATTTATATGGGAAAAAAACGATTTAAAAATTGTAACTTCAAGGCCCTCTGAAGCCCAAACAATGCAACTTTGTACTGAGGTAATTTTACTTAAATCGACTTAGGAATATGTGGTATGTTTTTGTAAAGACCTTTCACAGACACCCTGTATATTTGTATGATATTTTCATCTTGAAAAAATGTCTTCTTCAAGCTGTTAAAGTTCTGCTACAAAAAACTGGAACACCCTGTATATGTTACTGGTTAAAGTTAGTGCTGAATATAGAATAGTAACTTAGTAGCTTGACATATACAGGGGGTAGTTTAATTGATGGCTGAAAATGAAGGATATGGTTCCTGAGCTCATCTTAAGAAGAATACTTCATATGAACATATATCCTAAACATCCAAACTGTTGAGCTATATTATGGAGCAAAAATGTTAAGAAAAAATTCGTTTTCTTGTCATGACTTCAATACTTTTCTACATATTTTCATAAAATTTGACATGCACCTACTAGGCACCATGTGGTAGTTTCTAGGTGAGATGTGTTTTTGTTTAATTTTTATTGAAAAATCTCAAGCATCAAAAAATGCCTAATGGTGCCTAGTATGTTTATGTATAGGGCATATGCTCCTATGAACTTCTTAAAATATTCCTTATTTTTACCCATCAATTAAATGCATACATTTTTTTCATGAGGAATTTGGAAATTTCAGAAAATAAAATGGCCATCTAGATGTGCAGCAATAAATGACTTAGCCTCTCTCTACCTTAGAGGCCACAGAAATCAATTATGTACTTTATACAATGATCAAACTCAAAATAATGCCCATCTGGCCACCTATCTTTTGTACCCCAAAAGTTTCAAAATCATTGTCATAACCAAAAATGTGTGAGAATAACTTTAAATTGATAAAGAAAAAACAGTTTTTGAGTTCCTATATGAAATGATAAGAAAGATTTCTGAAGAAAATAATAAAATTTATAGCATTGAGTATGGTGTTCCTCATGGCAGTATTTTAGGCCCACTCAAATCAGCTATAAAGCTTTAGCTGACAAACTCATATGTTGAAAATTATAAATTATATTCAACTGTAAAATAAGATTGAAGGATAAAACAAATACATAATACATATATACACTGAAAATATAAATATTTATGAAATTGTATTGAATCAGTCATTCATGCATTGCCATTTTCAAACTGAGAATTTCATGTAATATTGCATTGCTGAATAAATAATCTAATTTTTTCCTCAACTTTTGATTTGATCTGTTCAGCTTCATTCAGTACTAGATATTATATTCAATGAAAAAGCTCTGGTAGAATGGGAAAAAATTGAGATACTTCACATGTAACAGAGGTTGATTTTGACTTCATTTGAATGCATGTTTGTTGAGACAATTGAAATTGTTTTTTTTTTTTTTTTTTGAAAATGAAATGAACAACATACCTTTTTTCTCTTTCCTCACGATCACCTCCTCTACGCCTTTCCCTATCACCATCTCTGTATACTTTCCTGGAACGGCTTGCACTTCTATATAAAAAATTGATATAATTGAAAATCAGCATTGTCAAAATTATTTGATTAGAATTTTTTCATAGAAATGGTCCATTATCAATTTAAAGTTTCAAACTATGAATTTATAATTGAAAAACAGAAGAAGAATGGAATAATTATACCCCATTGTGAAGTCTCTGTCTCTCCAACAACATTCACTAAACCTGAGGAATGAATTGAAAAAAATTTTTTTTGGAGATCAGTGGAAGAGTACATACAGTGGAAATGTTTGATACTACATTGGCCTTGGCACCCAGAGCATTATCTTATAGGTACTGAAATGAATCATAGTTGTTGATCGCTGTTAGTTCAATATCAGCACCATAGTTTCCAATATTGTATTATTTGTATTGATCAAACCTACCTAGAATAGCTTTTGCCCTTGTGGTTTCTTGGGGATTCTTCTCGCCGATCGTGGTCGTTCATATTGCCTTCTCCTGGTACTCCAGGTGAACCACTTCCCTAATGAAAAAAAATCTTGGATAAAAATAGGGAATTATAAACTTTCATTTGGATGAAAAGTATTTACGTATTCGCCGGTAGCACTTGCACATGGCGATGGCGTCTACTGAAAATACGCTATTACACAATAGATAAATCAGTCTTCACTATTTATAATGCGTCTGTTGTTAACTCACCTCTCTACTACTCATTACATACAACAAAAGCTTAGAAATTATCAATAGTAATTGGATAAGTACTAACTTTCAATATAAAAAACACCCTGACGCCAAGCACAAGATGCAAACGAAAACGAGAAAAAATTGCAAAACGAATTCAACAAAATCGAAAACAAGCATAGAACATAACATGTCTGTCAACTGTCATTCTGTCAATGGTCAGACTTCAAGAGGTGTTTTTTCTTGATGAACCGTGTTCAAAACGGTTTGAAATCATATATTTTCTTGCGTATGATATGACGTCACCAAGTAATACGGTTCATTCTGGTTCAAAAACTTCTAAATGAACGGTTCGAACCACGAAAAAGTGTGGAGTCGAGGAGTGGGGGTAAAACGGCGAAGTTTGAGGTTATTAAGATTGTTTTGTTAGTTTTGTTTTGGCTGAATATTTTGTCATTTATTTTGTCTCTATTTTTCCGAAAAAGAAAAACAAAACATGGATTGTGATGATGGTATGATCAATATTGAACTTGATGATTTGGTCCTAAGTGTGGATGCAGAAACAGCATTAATTCTTCAACATTGAATTTGTCTGCTACAGATATGAGGGTTTCCCCTTTTCCTAGCCACCATAATGTTATCAACAATTGTTTGTAAGCTGATACAGGTAATCCTCCTCCAGTAAATGGAACATTCATGTCTGGGCCATCTATCAGAGATAAGAGATTCAAAACAGATTGTTTTTGGAATCTGAACAGCTGGAAAAAGTCGTAGTCCAGATATTTATCCAGCCACTCTTCTGCATAATTGTCCACTCTATGATGCTGGAAATTTTCGCAAAGAAATATTTCCAGATTATCTATCGGCTGGTTCAGCATTTGTGAAATATAAACACTATGCCAAGACCAATCAAAAATTCCACTTGTGATTCCATTAAAATTGTTTCTTTCACACTTCTCACAGATAATCGTTAACTTAAAAAATTCAACAATTATAGATTTTAGGTTAGGTATAAGTCAATCCTCGATTTTGACAGCTTTCATTTTCAATTGGTCTGTTTTCTTGAACTCAAAAATTACTACGTCACACTTGAAAACGGTTCAAAAACAATCTTGAATACGGTTCATCAAGAAAAAACACCTTAATGTGTACCAATGACGGCAACGTCTCTTGCCAGTCATTCGTAGCTTGCTGCCGTGCTGCGGAAAATCTCAAGGTTATGAGAAGCTTATAAAGGTATTATGAGGAATGAAAATATCGTTTCTGCATAAAGAAGGAGACCACTTTTGACCTCTCGGCCTAAATAAGCCATTTTCCTAGTAAGTTGATCTGTGCTAAGAGCACAACAGCAAGCTACTATTTGAACGACTGGCAAGAGACATTTATGTTTGGTCGTGGTCGTATATCAAACTATTATCAAACTCAAAAAACGATAGCTGTGTTCGGAAACCCATGAACTGCCTTCACTCTACACCAGTACATTCTCCACAGTATATTGCTAAAAAGAGAAATATACTGTGCATTATCTACACTCAAGGTCTGTTCGCTGTGCCTCCAGTCAATGACGGCTAAATGGACTGTCTGACGGGTTATACATGACTGTTCATTCAGCGAAAATCGCCAAATCGCCCTGTAATGAAATTTTGATGGGACGGCAAGTGGCGTCATCTATTTCCTGTGTCAAATGAGCTATTCAACATAACCTGCATTCATGATCCTGCCTAAGATCCTGCATTATTTGTTGACAAATTTTCTCACTGTCAGCCTGTCACTCATTGTCACTCGAGATTGAAGAGCTTTGTTCGAGATACCAAGTAAAACTGTGAAAAGGCCAACAAAATGAAGTGGTTAGGAGTGTTCATGCCAAATAACGCTATTATATGCATAAATAATAATGCCATTCAAGTGGAAATCATCTTCGTCAATTCGTGAATAGGTAAGGACATGTTCAATTATTTCATTGATTGAATTTTCAACTGCCTAATAAGAGCCATGGTAGCCCTAATAACCAGATATTGCTGTATTCTCAAAGTGAAATGTACTGCAACATTTCATATTGTTTCACAAAATCTGTGATCTCAAGTGATATTTCTTAATTTGTATTTTCAGGAAGATACTGAATTTTCTCAACACAATGTTGAAGCAGCTCTTCATGAGGTTTGATTGAATGATGACTGGAGACATTCAATTCTGATGATGCTATCTATGCAATACTAGAATATTTACTATAAGGTGAGCTTTGTGAACAGTTGTTTGATTAGGTGAGGGTTCAGAAAAATAATCAGGCATTTTAACTACGATAACAGGTATCTCTGAATAGCAAATTAAATATCAATTCATCATTTCATACTTATATATATTCCATATCAGATATACAGATAAATTGTATTGCAAAATTGATCGAACTATGCCACCTTCAAAATCATTAAATGTTCTATAGCAACATTTCTTTATAGGTTCTGGGGATGGCAACACATTGAATATAAAACGGCTTGGATATGGGATCTTGACTTTGGAGGATGAAGCTAGGTTGCCTGGAGATCCTTTGGACACTGGAAATAAAAGAGGAAGATGATATATTATTGTGTATCCCACAATTTCTATTATCTTTTCAGAAATCGGCAGAGAAGAAGCATGTTTTGAGTTCAAATATAAGCTCATCATCAGCTAATTTAATGGAAAAAGAAATTGTTTATTATGGTGACTGTCTATGGAATAAAATCATTATATTACTTGAATAAATGCTTTCTATACATATCATCTATCTATCTATCCATATTTTTCAACCATTTTCAAAACTTTGTGAAGACAGAAATAGTTATATGCATTTCAAATGTTGAGTTTGCACTCTTTTCATCTTTTTAGATCTACTTGGGGAAGCTATAGTTAGTGGGCTAGTATCAGTGACAACATTTTATTACCTTATTTCACATATCATCTCATACTTCTATCAAGAAAACAAGAAAGCTATACAGGATCTCATTGATAGATGGGCATACATAATACATAAACTTTTAGGCCAAATAATTAATTCAAATTTTTTGTGACAAAATCATCACAGCAGTGAAAAACATTTTTGAAAATCTCTGATAGTATCATTATTCTGTGATATTTGCCAGGAAGCAAGAACACAAAATACCTCAAATAGTATAGTTGTTGCACCCGAAAAAACTCCAGATGTTGTCCTAGACTGATGATTCTCTGGGATTCAAAGAGCATACCTTAAATTCCATGCATTCCTCTTTCATTCTTGGTGTTGCTTTTTGGGATGCCCATCTTGTAGGTATATGGTAATTTAAGTTTGAATACATTGCATTCATGGCTTGAACCATCAGGCTCACATGAAACAGTTTTCAACAATACTACTCCTACACAACAATGCAGACTAAACATACCTTGAGAATTATGGTAATCGATCCTTTCTGAATGTAGATCCGATCACTTTATAGTGTCTTCCAAAATCATTGACACAAACTTCAACACCAGAATTAACACCAGTGTTCTAATGGTGGAATCGAGGCTGAAATTGAAAATCATCAGAAAAATGTACATGAAAAATCATATTCTTACCAATGCCTTCCAAAATAAAATTCGACCATTCTTGCTGTGGAGTTTATCACTGGGTATGAGTACTACATTTCATTTCATACGCTAGAAGGCTGTAAATACATGATGAAGACACAACTAGCAAACCTGAATAAATAAACTACCAGAACTAAACACAAAGAAGAATGCTTGATTGAATGAAAATCCGAAAAAGTAAAGGAATTTATCGATATTCAACAGAACACATCAGGGACCTGACAGTGACAAAGTTTTGACACTTGATAAAATAATGATAATTCAATATAACCTATGTTATTGGAAAACAACCGAATAGGTCGCGTGCAAGAACTGTCAGATGACCGACCCTGGAGGCAAAACATATTTGTTTACAAGTGATCCAAATAGTTTTCCACAATTATTTTGGCATATGAATCGTATTTTTCCGCTATTCATCAATTCGCTAATGACATCACATTGTGCTGTTATAAAATGCACAAAAACTGCAGCGGAAGATGGAGTACCTACTATAGTCACTCACATAGTTTTCATTTTTGAAATTTGGTTATCTGATTTCTCATCGGAATTCCTTCTGCAATAGGATCAGCTAATAGAAATATACCTGAAATTTCTAGAATAATGCAAGAAGATTGGATTCATGCAATCAATCGGTAGGACTGGTCTGACATGCTGACGATCGTGTGTGTTGTAGACATTTTCAATCTATTAGCAGCATCAGCTTGTATTGCAGAAGTGGCAGAAGGCAGAAGGAATTTTAATAAGGAATGACAACATTTCATAATGCTAACTATGTGAGATTACTATTTACCTGAAAAATCATATTCCCTAGTCTCTTGCTGCATTTTTTGTGCATTGTACAACAGCACAATGAGAAGACATGCTTGAATTAATGAATAACGCAAGAAACACGATTCGTATGCCAAAATATTGTGAAAAACTATTTCAACCTTTTGATTCCTCTGTAACCAAATAAAAAAGTGAGGTTGTGTTTCAATAATTCACAGAAGAATGAGGTTGTGTTTCAATATTTCGCCTCCAGGGTCGGTCTTCGTGCACGCGACCTATAAGAGCCAAACAAATGACTTCTCCGCAAAGGACGGCAAGTAAACCCCTCTGGTGGAGAATACACTGAACTGAGTGATTGGACAGTCATGTAGTACTCGTCAGACAGTCCATTTAGCCGTCATTGCTCCAATAACTACAATATTGTACACCAGAGTAGATGGTGTAGCACTGATACCGTTCGTTGTTATGTGGTGTGGTGTACACTCACACTGTGTTCGTTGTCAAAGTGTTGTAACAGCAAGTGGTGTAGGGTAGAGTAGAGTGACTATATAAATAGAGTGACGACAATGGCCATGCAAATGGCTGCCATTTCCGGTCATTGACGTAGATGTCAATTAACGTCAAAGTCAAATGAAACATAAACAAACTACACAATACACGTGTTTCAATTTCCAATTTTCGTTTGGGTTTTTATCAGAGTTTCATTGGCTCAATCTATGAATCTATGTCTATTGTAAATATTATATGTAATAATGGCTGGGCCAAAAAGATTCTCTAAAATAGTACAAATCACGAATATCACGATGTTCTTGAAAGAAAATGGAGATGAAAGCAAAGCTA